AGTCAATCTCTCAGTTACTGGCAGTAACTGAGTTTGAGTGACTGACTGACTGACATTTTTATGCATGTGTGAAGTTGAAGACAAATTAGATAATTTGTAGATTACTTTAAAACATTAGACACGTATTTTTTATTTTCTTACAAAAATAATACTTTCGAAGATACCTATATTGATTCGAAACGTCGCTTGACGTTACTTCTGTGTACCTACATTTTATACGTAGAAATGACGTTTTAGCTCCCACTCCTAAACTTTGTTTCGTTTTATCTAAGTATTATTTTATTATACAGCATAATAAATATGTTTTTTCATTGCCTAACTTACGGGCTATTTACATTTTTAAATTTTATACACTGTCATCATTCCTATTGTAGATATAGGTATGCAAAACTTATTAGTTATTGGCGACTGACACAAAATGTATAATTGAAAGTAATTGTACTACAACCCAAAAATTATATGTTTAAAAATGTAAGACAGTATTAGGAGAACATTTCGCTATAATTAGAGGTATAATCAGGAAATGCATGAACTCCTCGATTTATTATTTCATCTTTTTTCATTTAATTTATTTTCTTTGTTAGATTTTACGTTTCATAGTTTTAAATGTAAATACTACTAATATGTTATTAAGAGAAAAAACTAAGTTACAAGAACTCTTTATAATATTTAATTCTTTTTTGGAAAATCGGTTGAAAGTAGGTTTTACACGCGTTATAATACACAAGGGAAAGATAAAAATAAATTAAACTATAATCGATTTTATACAACGGCGATGGTACACATTGTTAATTTGTACAGTCGCCAATAAAACGCAACATAGGCCTATTACTGTACAATTATTTGGAACTATGCCCAAAATACTTTGTTTTTCAATCTGTATTTTGCAACGGACGCCATTGGCGGTGGTTTTAGTCTATTTTTAATATTTTAAGGTTCTTTGTTACGGTTTTTATTGACAAAGGTTCAATAGATGTTACTGGCATGCTATACCTAGATCTGAATTCAATGAGGATGATTCTTATTGTTATATAATTGACTAGACAGTATAGTGGGCGCAAGTACGATTGCCGGGCAAGAGGTCTCGGGTTCGATTCCCGGGTCGGGTAAAGTACTACTGGATTTTTTAAAACATTCCCAGTAGTACTTCGGAGTTTGGGATTGTGCCCGGTGTATGGCAATAGGCTCACCCCCTATTACATGGGGCTCATAACATAAATAGTCAAAAGTGGGTGATCCATTGTACAGTGGTATTATGTGCACCTGCCTACCCCTTAGGGGATAAAAGGCGTGATGTTATGATGTTATGCTATTGGTCTGATTTCAATGAGGATAATCCTTATTGTTATATAATTGACTAGGCAGTAAGATTTTCGTCTTATGCTTTGCCTTGTTTAAAAATTTATAAAAAAAAATAGCTGACGTGGCAAACTTGTACCGCCTACAATTTTTTTGGCTCACCTTTTATATCTTCCCTGGACTATACAAAACTAGCTGACGCGGCAAACTTGTACAGTTGTACCGCCTACAATTTTTTTTGTCTCATCTTTTATATCTTCCCTGGACTTCCGCGAATATTTCAAGATCAAAATTAGCCAAATCGGTTCAGCTGTTCTCGAGTTTTAGTGAGATTAACGAACGGAAATTCATTTTTAGTTATATAGACTAGCGAAAGACATAAAGGCGTATGTATTTTATACATACATATATGTTTTTAATGGTGTGTGTTTTGACACTTTGGAACTAGCACCAAGCTTCACAGTCAGACAGACTGAGATTTTGATTCAATTTTTGAGATTTCCAAAGTGCTTAATTTTGCGTTATTTGAAATAAATGCTTTGACTTTACATTTTGTTCATAACAATATAATACATGCTCAGGGTGATTCTACAATAAAAAAAAACCCGAAAAAATTAACGGCGTCATTATCCTTAAGCCAAACTTAACAGTTCTGTTGATTAAAATATAAAGTTTAGTTTCAAGAAATTGAGCCGTGTCACTGCTCTCACTCAATCCAGTAAAAATACAGATGTAATAAGTTACCGCGATGCTCAACAACGCGGTAGGATAATGATTTATTAAATAAAAGTTAAAGTTTTTCGAAAAAACACCCCTCACTGTTACAAAGTGATGTTATTATGATATATAGCACACGTTTATTTATAAAAATCATTAAGTACTTTATTCAAGCAAGAAGTATTTATTAATCCCATAGTAATCCCTTTACAAAGCGATCCCTATGCCCTCTATTCCCCTATTTCCTGTTTTTTATATTTTGAATTAAAGATCTTCATTCATTGCCCGACTCTAAACAGACCGTGTTTGTAAATCAATACGTAGAGTATTATATTACGCCTTGTTTTCTTCGAAGGGGAAAGCAGAGGTACACGGTTTAAGTAACGCTTTTTTTATATATGTTATGACATTTTAAGTCCCAGTCTTACGTCTTTAGCCTATGACTACTACTACTACTCATCATCATCAATGGCCAAGTGGCCACTGGTAACCAAAGGCCTCTTCTCACACGGAGAAGGTTTGCGCATTAATCACCATACTTGCTCAATGCGGTTTGGCTATTTCAAACGTATGGTTAGCAATTATAAGCTCAGGTTTCCTCACAATGATTTCCTTCACCGTTTGTCAGTGGGATCTAGATAATTTTAGGAAGTACATATAACTGGGAAATGTCACATTGGTACTTGCCGTTGGTAGGGTTCGAACCTGCACTCCCATGCATGAGCAGCGGGCGTCTTAAACCTCCGGGCCACCACGACATTTAAATTTATTTATGTGAAAAACTGACACCCCTATATTTTGAAAACGGTAAATCGTCTCATAACGTAGAAGTTTAATTCTACCTAATAAATTTCTAGCTTGGAAGTAGCTCTAGAAATAAATCGACCGAGAAACCTCGTTTAAAATCTTATTTTTTTCTGATCGGTATATGAACAGACATGAACCAATACTTATAGTAATATTCAACAATTATATTAAACTTAGACATTATATTCATAATGTAATTTGATAAATGAATATAATAACAGATTTTAACTTAGAAATAACATTATACATGTTCTAATTCACTTCTATTTATGACGATACTCATTAAACTTCAACTACTAAATTGGTATTGTTATATTTAAATTGATTGGCTTTTTCTGAACAGCAATTGAGAAGTGGTTCGGTTATTTTTTCTCACGATATTAGGATCTTGCCAATAGGTATTTTGGCAAACCCTGTTATGAAGAGGAGGTCCATTAGTTCAGCAATGAATTTGTCACGGCCTGATGATGATAATTATAATAAACTAGCTTCAGCCAGCGGCTTCCCTCACATTCCCGTAGGATAAAAAGTAGCCTATGTTTAATTTCATATCTTAATCTATTCCTGTACCAAATTTGAACTAGATCCCTTCAGCAGCTTTGACAACAAACTTTCGAATTTACAATATTAGTAGTACTTAATATCTAATTTAAAATACAAAGGGCAAATTATTACTGGGTTTTAAAAAAACCTCAGTAGTAGCACGGAGTCTGGCATTGTATGTACCCGGTATATGGCAACAGGTTCACCCTCTGTTACATGGGACTAATAATATAAATAGTGATAAGTGGATGTTACATTGTACAGTGGCATTGAGTGCCGTAACATGCGTCTCTGCTTACCCCTTCGAGGATAAAAGGCGTGTTGTTAGAAAGTGTGTATATAATATATGCAGGTACGATGAGACTTATAATAGATGAGATAAACTAATCAACGTAATCTCTTTGAACAATTATGAAAGTTGGGTCTAAAAATAATTGGATTTGAACATTTCTAACTTGTTTATACTTTCATCAATTATATAGTTTTCGCAATGTTTTCGGTCGCTGTGGATTTTGTACCTTCGTTTTGTTAAAGTTTTTGGGGATGCTAGGGGATCAGAGAAGTTAAATATAGCTTTATATCGAATATCAAAGACAATGTATCGGAAACATCAAAGATATGTTAGATCAGTGCCACGTGTTGTACTGAGTTTTATGGTATATTGTGTCAAGAAATCGACTTTAAGTATTATTATTTTTGCCATCTATCAATGAACGGGGTTTACGATTTGTAAAAAAAATTCGTTCAAATTTTACCCTAGACCCTCCATCGACATAGCACAGTTCCAATCGAAATTTCGGTTCAAACGAAAATATTCGTACGACAACTGGGACCTAACTGAAACAAAAAGGAACTTGGGAAAACAATCGCCGGCTGCCATCGGTGTGCTCTTCCCAACTCTTCCCAAATAGACTCACTACTATAGTTATAAACGGTAAAGTTTGTGCGCCTTTTATCCCGACCAACTTTAATCATTTTAGGTTATTAATTTTTCACGTTAAAACTAAAATAGACTATAATAGATTTTTGAAATTAAGAAAGTGGGAGTTAAAACTCAGTAATAGCACGCAGTCTGGAATTGTGCCCGGCAATATGGCAATAGGCTCACTCCCTATTACACGGGACTCATAACATAAAATAGTGAAAAGTGGTGTTACATTGTGACATTAAGAGCCGTAATGTGTACCTCTGCTTACCACTTCCGGGATCAAAGGCGTGATGTTATGTTATACAATAGTTTTTTGAAATTACAAATTGCCGCGTTCGTTTAGTCATAGTCTTAGATGCGAGGACGTGTAAATAAATAATTGTTGACTTTTTTCCAAATTTTCTGTTCACTATCATGAAGTTAGAGTAGGTTTGTGTTCGGTATACGGCAATAAACTTGTATAAGACTCATAATAACACTGGCGAAAAGCGGGCTTTACATTTACCTACCATGTAATCTTCTAGTTTGAAGCGCTGTCATGTGGTGTGAATAGATATCCCTTCTGCAAACCACGTCAGACTCTTCACCTCTATATTATGTTATCTTTAGAGACTTAAGATTTATCTGGTACAAGTAAGATTTAACTGGTCCATAACCGGCACAATTTTGAGCAGTGATGCTAATAGAAATATTTGTCTTGTTACAGCCAGTGGGAATATACCGAGGGAAGTACGAGTGGGCTAACGAGAACAGTCCAGTAGGAGGTGACTGCTCGCTCTGGGTGCGAGCCGCCACGCTGCAGCTCGATGACGGACAGTGGCAGTGCCAAGTGACTGCCAGCAATTATGATGTGCAGGTAATTTTATGAAGGAAATGTATCTTACCTATTTCCTTGTAGCTTATTTTCATAGTAACTATCGTGAGACATACTAAATTACCTAAAAATAACGGAGTTCATGAGGAAGAGTCCCTCTATGAGTCGAAACTAGTAGAGCTTTACTCAGTATGTTTACGTGAGTACGGTAAAACGGGGTAAATAGAATTCGAGGGGTGAATAGATACTGGAATGGGGTGAATAAATGTTAGAATATTTTCCCAACATTTATTCACCCCTCTTCTGTATATATTCACCCCTTGAGTTCTATTTACCACGTTTTACGGTATTCCATTATTTTTAGTTAAGTTTGTTAGTTTGACCTATTGATTCGAATGAATAAATTCTTTTTATGTTAATTAAGTAGTCCATTTATTAAAGAAGGCAATAGGTAATAGAACATCATACTACTATGAGTAGGTGTCGCGCAGCAGGTGTACAAAAGAAGCTAGTTTATGACACGTACCATGAATGAACTTAAATAATGTATTCGTGTGTATTTCTTTCATGAAGGTTTTGGTTAGTCAACCTTGAAATGTACATCCATTAAATGATACTACGTTAAATTTGGCACATTTCCTTTTACATAATTTAAACTGATAATAAAAATAACACAGTCATGTAGAACTTGAACTGTATAATTTCAGTGTGCCTTGACAATAATTGTAGGTGATAGTTATATTATGTTATGTTACCCGACCATTCCTTGAAGGTATCTTTTCTTAAAAACATTTGCTGCATTAGTTTTCTGGAACAAACATTTTCTAGCTAGGACAGATAGATAGCCCAGCTCAATTGAACTTTGAAAACTTTAAAGAAATTAGTCCCGTCGTACCAGTCGTACGAGGCAGTATTTCTTCTTTTACTTGAAATACCCTTTCAAATTGCAGAGGTTAGCATTCATGGTACCATCAATATATTTTTATTGGTCTCTAGAAAATCCTTGAATATCGGTGTCATTGAAAATTCTCGTGAAAACATTTTATACAAGGTTAAATACAAATGTAAAATTAATTGAAATTAAATGAAAATACCTAATAATATACATATTATATATACGTAACTAGTCAGCCTCTGTATGGCATATATTTCATATACTTAGTCCTTATTTAAAGAAAAACAACTTTAGTGAAGTAGGTAGTCGTTCGGTAGATTACAAACATACATTTTGTCCAAATGTGTGCCTCTATTTTATTTAACGTATACATCATTCCCAGGATGCCCTCTCAAGTCCACCAGCAGCTTTAGCAGTCCGGGTACCACCACAATCTCCTCGGATCCTGTTCAACGGCTCCCACGTCATGCCAGGTCAAAACATCACGGTGCCAGCTGGAAACAGAGCTACTGTCGTCTGCGAAGCCAGATATGGCAACCCTCCCGCTTATATCGAGTGGTATTTGGGTGAGTACATGACTATATTGTACCTTATTACCTTATTATAGAGTTCTTTATGGCAAACAACAGAGAACCTTACTTTACCTTAGGAAAACAGTATTAGGTTATAAGAAGAAGAGCCATGAAATGCCGAGAGCCATAAAACTTTGTTTGGTGAACTATGAGTGAGTCTCATTGATATTCCGAATATTGATGAAAATATTGTTTTCTAAAACACTTCTTCGTAATCCTTCTTTACAAATTGTGCCGCTTTAACCAAACAAAAAAGGGTGAACGAACGAAACAACCAGTAATCCAGTACTTAATTAAACCGATACGTTCATATAAAATTCTAAATGGCATGTCGTGTGTTTGAACTAAAGCCACGACCTACAAAGCGCCATGCATTTTAGAAGAGGCTTCACTGTCAGTGATCGACGTCGCGTCGGTGTACACTGCAATGGTCTTGGCTATCGTTGGCTGTAATTACATAATGACGTATCAATATACATGTAGTCACGAATTTTAATCCCCAAAGGAGTAAACAGAGATACGTAATTATAATGAAACACATACTTTTCAGCTGTTTTAATTTGAGTCTTATATAATAGTTGGTGAGTCCTTTCCCATATACCGAGAATTCCAGAATTCTAAAAAAGGTGTGCTATCACTAAAATATTTTCGAAAATCTCCAATAATAATGATTTTGCTCGACCTGGGACTGTTTTTTTATTTAGGGGCAAAATCATTCAACGACTTCTCCCGCCTTGGGTTAATCTGGGACTTAACTCCAAGATTCTTTATTCGGCTGACCACTCGACCAACAAGGCAATAGTTGTAAACCTGTAATTACATAATGACGCATCTATTTATCTGTAATGAGGTTCTATCATGTAATGGGCTGAGATTGAAGTTGTAAAATTGATTGACTCTATAAATGTAGGGTTGTGTAATAGAATAATATATTGGTTCAATGATTGCGGCTTTTTAGATAGTTGATTGTTTCAATGGCTTGTTAGTATAGAGTAGAAAGTAAACTGCGGACACTTAATCTTTTATGGGATAGGTATAAAAAATGGGATTTAAAAATTTGAATAACGACTGACTTAATGACGTGCCAATCGAATATTCTTATTACAAAATTCTGACTGTACAGCTTGCTAAATCAAAAGTTCGACATAAAGTCAAACTAATAATCTTTTTTTTTTCTTCTTTCGCAACCGAGTCTCCACAATGGTGTTGTCGAATAATCAATCACATGATTTGAAATCCGATTAGACAGAAGTTAATAATGTACATTTCTACACATACCAAAATAAATAAAATCGACACTTTTAACATTTGAAAAAAATAATAACATTTTGACGTCCCACTAATAACAATATTGTTTTTCATTACATTCACGAATTACATTTTGGCTTAAACTTGACATAAGAATTTAATACCATGGCTCTAATGACAAACCAAACATGTAATTGAAATTGATTTAATAAAATCAAATAAATACCTAATGTAAAATCATACCTACATGGTGTCAATAAAAGTCATCAAATATTACATTAGTATTACTGTTAATTGATAATTTCTACTTATGATAGCGTGTGTAGTATTCATTTGTCTTTTGGTCGACACCTTGTCAATACTACAAATTATTTGATTTACAATAACATAGCGAATGATTGATGTTATATGAAAAAGCTTTTTACTACTTATGAATTGTGCATGTAAAGTAGATAAATGATGTAGGTACTCAATTTTATTTTAAACACGTTGCCTCAATCTAGGACTTTTTCCTGTGTCACGGGTGCGTTTACAAACATACAATTTCACATACACATAATACCCGGAGCTAGACAACAATCTGTGGATCATATAAAGAGTTGTTCTGTGTGGGAAATGGCGACTCGTTGTACCGCAGCCACTTGCCCAGCCACCGTGCCAACTGTGCAGTCGAATTGTACGTAATATACAGAATACTTTTCAATTGACCAATTGAAAGAGATTTGGCCTATTCAATGCATAACTTTATTTAAAGTCATGGAAAACTTACAGCTTAACATGCGAAACTTAGGTATTATAATACAGCCGGAGCAGGTCTCTTTTAGAGGACCCGGTGGTTTTAGTGAGGTAAAAATCCCACACTCCCTAGTCTTTTATTCCCAAAAAGGCTGGGCGCCTTTTGAAGGTTTCCCTCCGTCATCAAATAAAAAAGGTATTATAATACAAAAGTAGTTTAATTACGGCCAACAAGTTTTTTACTATCAATTATTCACATCTGCTTGCTTCTTCCCTAAATAAATAACCTGAGGTGCTAACGACAACATATTATTATCATATTACTTATTAATATAATAACTTTTCTAATTTCCAGAAAAAGAACGTCTAACAGCATGGTCTCAGACGAATGCTTCGGAAGTGGAGAGACCACGAGTCTGGGCAGCTCGGTCAGTGCTGGAGCTGGGAGCCACAAGGTCTGCTCATGGGCGCCAGCTGGCCTGCAGAGCTCATCATCCGTCGTACCCATCTCCTTACTACAGGGACTCGTATACTATGCTGGATGTCACTTGTGAGTATTTAAGATAAACAATAATTACATGTCCCTTCATCATTTCTTTAAAATCTCCGTCTGCCGTGAATGAAACTTACCTTTGGTTAACCCTCGTAAGTTGCGGAGACTCATAGTCCGATTGTGGATTTGCATGGCGTAACTATGTAATGTATGCATTTTCAACTGGTGTACAGAAACTTTTAAAAAATCAAAGTCATTGTCAAGTCAATCAGTCAAGTTTAAAAAATCCCACGTCTATGGGACAATTTTTTTTTATATTTCTGACTTTCTATTCTTCCTTTCTTCAATACTCTCTTCGTTCATAAACAAATTATTTTCACCTATAATAGAACGATAATATTTTTCCGGCTTCATATCTAAATAGCCACTTGTTCCATTTATGTTTACAGAACGATCGGGACACAGAGAATAGAACAGAATCAATAAGCAATTAGTGACCAGCATTGTTATAGTCAGAAAACCATTTGCACTCATAAATAGATCCTTTATCGGAATGTTGGCACCTATTTGCTTTAATAGATGTGTTCCGTGCCTTTGTGTTGGTACCGACTATCTCTTGTGTAATGAGGGGTGAATGTTTGAAGCTAGCTTGAATATTCGAATGTGGTAATCACAAAAACTGTTAGATAAAATTGAATCAGATTCAGTAAGGCCTAGAATAGTATCGCAAACTGTTTAGGGGAAATTTTATGTTCTTTTGAAACTTAAGTTACAGCTTAAGGGAAGATGATATTATGGATTATTCACCCATTGCTTTATTCATTATACAGTATAGCCTAGTTGGCTGAGTGGTCGCAAGTACGACTGCCGGGCAAGGGGCTTCAAATCAAATCAAATCAAATCAAATCATGTTTATTTGCTCAAACACAATACGATTCAATTTTTTTTCGTGTTCGATTCCCGGGTCGGGCAAAGTATTACTGGGTTTTTAAAAATCTCAGTAGTAGCACGAAGCCTGGAATTGTGCCCGGTATATGGCAATAGGCTCACCCCCTATTACATGGGACTCATAACTAAATAGTGAAAATTAAGAGTTACATTGAATAGTGGCGTTAAGTGCCGTAATGTGCACCTCTACCTAACCTTTCGGGAATAAAAGGCGTGATGTTATGTTATGCTTTAATCAGTCCAGCTTAGATCTAGCTTACAAGAACACTGGACCAAAGAGGAATTGTATCGTAATACGTATCTGTTGCCCGATCACGTGCAAATAGTATTTCGGAGAACCAATCGCGAAAGGTATCGCGAGGTCTGACTCCGATGAAGTTTTGATCGGGTTAGCATAGATTACTCGGTAATACACTATCTGTATCAGTCCCAAGTTTTAACTTAGCTATGAATACAGATCTGCGGTGAAGTTTCATATTTCTAGAATATATTTCGGTAGAGCACAAGAGCACTAAAAGACTACTTTATCTATCGTAAGGAAGTTAAAAGAGTATTTAACTCGTCGAGTACCGTCATTATAGACACAATTATAGAACAATAGGTTGCGGTCACCGGTGACCGCTTGGTGTTTGACAGTTTAATAAACTTCATCATAGTCAATTTAAAGGTGTCTTAACTATTCTTTTAGACTCTCTTGACTTTTCTTATAACAACTGCTCATAAAGCTAGTCTTACTAAATAATAACTTAAAATATGATTTAAGGTAGTATTAGCATTGCTTAAATAAAAACTACATCTTAAAAGACCTTTAAAAACAACCAAAGTAATCATGAAAAAAGCTAGTTAATGCAAAGAGAGTTTTCTCATTAAGTATTTAAATCTAGTGCTATACTGAGTTACTCCTATCTTGTTAGTTTGGAAGTAAACTCACATCTCGTAAATATCAGTTGGTAGTGACTTGGTCCTAGCTACCGAAGACACGACTTTATTTATGTCGGTGTTTGCATGTGGCTGGAAGATAGACGAGTAGATAAATTGCAATATGCATTAGCTACGAGCTGCCTTGGAAAGAATAAGGAAACAGTCTTTTAGATTGACATGGTAGAATAAATAATTTTTAGTTGAATTGGACTCCTGTTACTATTTTGTATTTTTTATTTTATTAAACTTTGCCCTACACTAGAATTTTCTCCGGTGTCGTGGGTGCGTTTACAAACATACAAGTTCTCATACACATGACACCCAAATCCGGAACAACAATTTGTAGATCACACAATGCGTTGCTCCGTGCGGGAATCGAACCCGCGACACGTGGCAGCCGGTAGCCCAGCCACCGCACTAACCGTGTTGTCGTATAGATCTTAATCTTATCGATCGAGCTGTTATTATTGGCTTCTTTAGTCCTAATCAAGAATTCCAATTCCAAGTTGTACAATCGACCTAAGAGTCACGATTGCTGACTAAAACCCACACGTTCCTACTCCTGCTCTTCGAGCCGGAGCCCCGGCAATCCGTTAGGCTGGAGAAGCCATTGGATGATTTTTTACCACTAATAAAAAACTAAGATTACTGTAGGGTAATAAGAATGTCCACAGTATAATGGAGTATTAATTAATTTCCCATCTTCTTTTAAAATTACCTCGATTTTCAATTTGGTCTCGTAAACATTTTATATTTGATGAGGTTTCAGTTTCTAAACCAGAACATCTCTTTTTCCAGTTGTTCCAGTAGTTTCCATAGTTGGGGGTGATGCCAGCACTCTAGCAAACTTAGAAGAAGGTTCCAGTGCCCTGACTTTGGAGTGTCGAGCTGATGGTAACCCAAGTCCTTACGTTTGGTGGACCAAGAACGGACAAGTTATTGCTACGAATGGAGCTAAATTGATACTGGCACCTGTGTCTAGGAACCATTCTGGTAAGTGATTTGTGTTTATAATTAATTACAATTAGGTTCCAAATAATTGTTACAAAAGACAACGCCGCGTTGTTACAATGAATTTTGACACGGCATCGTACTCTATCTTCGAGGAAAATCAATTTTCATTCCTCATTTTTAACTACGTATTTTGGGAAAAGCACTTTAAATTTTAATTTTCCCCTACATTTTTTAGGCATCTACGGCTGTCAAGCAAGGAACTCATTGGGAACTTCGGATTCAGTGAAGATTGAAATCGACATTAAATGTAAGTTTAGACTTATTTACTTAATCCCTTACGTTTTTAGTAGAAGTCAGAAGACTTCTATTTGTCAAAGACCTTACATAAATCTTAATGAATTATTTTTCCAGATCCTCCACGAGTGTCGTGGATAGGACCCGATACGGTGGTGGAAGCGAACCTATTCTCTCAAGTCACTCTGGAATGCAAAGCTGAAGGCAATCCTCCTCCATCGTACACCTGGTATCATAGGTAAGCTTCACTTTCTTTAATGTTAAAATCGAAACGATAAAGGTTCTGCCTTCTTGGAATAAACCCGTCTTCCGCTTTTCGGTACAAAAATCTCTTAGAAAAGGTTCCAAAAGCAACAAACATAGGTAATAGGGATGATGACAGGGTATGAAAATTAAAAATGTAATTAGTCCGTCAGTTAGGTAATGAAAAAATATTAGACAAGTATTTTTTTTATTTTGTTGTATAATAAAATGAAACTAAGATACTTATAACGAATCAAAGTTTTGGAGTGGGGGCTAAAACGTCATTTCTACGTATAAAATGTACATAGAAGTGACGTCAATATCTCGTCGAAAGTATTCGTTTCTGTAAAAAAATAAAAAATACGTGTCTAATGATTTAAAATAATATACCAGACGGACATTAAAATAAAAATTAGTCATATATACACTATTAGAATATTAAAATATCCAGTACATTTTGATCACAGTATTGCCTTTTTTAATAAGGAATAACAAAAAAGTACCGAATAAACTATGTATATTGGAAATGATTGTTCATAATGGTCTTATTTCTACCTCTATATATCATTGCTCACTTACAGTCTTACTAATTACAGTCCAGCATCGTCAGCTCGCATCAACTCGCTGCAAGATGGCGCCTACCCGATCTCCATGACACCACAACTTCAACTGCACAACGTTTCATACGATCAACACGGACGGTACACCTGCGTGGCTACCAATCAGATAGGACTTGAAGACAGGTAATACACATCTGGGTGATTTCTTGCAACCAATCTCAATGTCAATGCAATTGCAATCCAATGAAAACTCAATAATTATTCAATGTCAAAACTATACAACCTCTATAATTGTAGCTGTTAAAATAGCATTCAGAGTACGAAATATAAAGCCAAATTCAATACCATTTAGTTCATTCAATACTCACCCAATACGGATGCAATGAGCGCTAGTGTTAAAACTCAAGAGTACGAAATTTCACAATATCAATGTCGATCGATGGGAATTGGATTCAAGAGTAAGCCCACTGATTTGATAACGTGAGAAGTGGTTTTGAAGATAGAAAAAGAATAATATTTAGGAAACTTAAGGATCTGTCATTATCATTAATTGATAGTTTTCTGTCTAAGTAACAGGTTATAGCGGGTATATAGTTATAGCGGGTAGGAAACTGACAGAATATGTGGATCTGTTATTTCATGAAACTGATAAAGTTGACCAATTTTCCAAAATACACCCCAAAATTTGCAATGATCGTGCACACATTCCTACGTTTTTTTCAGGAGTCATCAATCCGAAGCTGTGACACTGAACGTGCTGGGTCCGCCGGTAGGCGCAGATACGGGCGCAGCTCACGCGTGGAGTGGACACGAGGCTCGAGTGGCCGCCACCGTCTGCGCCGACCCACCACCACGCCGGGCTGCCTGGCTCTGGGGCAGTCTCCGCCTTGACGTGCCATCACAGATCGGTGTGTAGTTTTGTAGATATATTTTAGCAGTGTACAGCTTCTTTGTTCTGTGATCTTTAGCATGTCATTGGAAATTCTCATTAGTCCAACGGTAATAATGTGTAACTGCTGGATTTAAGATCATTGGTTTTATAGGTATATGGTGTAGGTACTTGCCAAAAATAAGGATAACACTTTAGACCTTTGGGTAAAATAATATATAAACAGAATACTAATTAAAGTCGCCCTTATCCTATTCTTCAGCATTGCAATTCGCATTTGAATAGAAAACTGGTGAAAATTAGTTTTATGTTGACTACACAGTTGTCGCGATGGCTGGGTATTCGGCTGCCGCGCAAACTAAGCGGGTTCGATTTCCGAACGGAGCAATTCTTTGTGTGATCCACAAATTGCTGTTTCGGGTGTGGGTGTCATGTGTATGTGAACTTGTATATTTGTAAACGCACCCCGACACAGGCTCCTAGTGCGGGGCAAACTTATAAAAAAACTTCAAAGTTTTGTTACCACTAGTCCTTACCACTAGTCTTTTGTAAAAGATTTGTCTTTTGTACGGAGCAGGTCGCTACCGCACCATCGAGCCTGCAACAGACGGAGGTTGCTACCGGTACACGTTGCTCATCTCCAACACCGGGGTCGCGGACGCTCGAGTCTATGTCCTACACGTGGAGAATGAGAGAGGTTTCTCCTCTCATGCTGTCTCTCTCACTGTGCATGGTAAGTTCGTAATTTGATATTTAAGTTCTTTATAGTAAAGTTCTGATTTCCATGTGTGTGAATGTGAATTTATGAGTTTTTATGGAGGTGAGGTCTAGATTTTGTGTGCAGATCTTTGTGGTTTAATTTTTTTATATTTGTTATATTTGCTGTTTTACGGACATGGAAGTTAGATGTTTTTACTTAAAATTAGTAGCTGTACTTCTGTGTTGATTGTTACATCAGAAATCAGAAATCATAATAGAAGAATACATTTATTTTAGAAGTCATCATGTTACCTTATCAGACGCATGACGGAATGAGTATATTAGTGAATGTAACCCTCTAATCCTAAAGAATTATCCGAATGTTTCTATTACTGGTATCCAAAATTGTCCCTTACATTGCAAGCTCTAAGTATGAGAAGACACGAGTCTGCTAAATTAGCACCAAAATTATAACATTAAACTTACTCACATAACATTCATTCGTTCATTCATTCATAGTGCTTATTGCCTTGTTTAGAAACTGACAGATTATTGCACAACTTACATTCACACGTTCTTAGATTGAGAGGCCAAAATCGTTTGGCTTTCATATTTCCTGTGTTTGCCTGTAAACTGCATGTTTATAACCCTCCAATAATTTTGTTCACGCAGATAATTTTTCGCTAACAGAGACTGCACACGTGGCTCCGCTGATCGCGGCCGCGCTTGTCATTGCAGCTCTGTTGGTCATAGTGCTGTGTCTCATCATCCGGTGCCGGAGACGGAGAGGTAAGTGTTCATGGACCTTTATTGTCACTGTTCATTCATCATTCATCAATAGCCCACTGCTGAGCAAAGCCTCTTCTCATACGGAGAAGGTTTGAGCATTAATCACCACGCTCGCTCAATGTGGGTTGGCGATTACAAACTTATAATTAGAAATTATAAGCCCAGGTTTCCTCACGATGTTTTCTTTCACCTTTGTCAGTGGTGTCTAGATAATCTTAGAAAGTACATGTAACTCGGAAAATGTCATATTGGCACTAAACTTGCCGTTGGTAGGTTTCGAACCCTCATGCATGAGGGGTGGGCGTCTTAAACCGAGTCACCGCAACTATAATGTATACCGCGACTGTATTGTTGCTGTTATGATCTATGATTAGTTTAAAAAGATTTTTCGTTTGGTTTTGATGTGGTTGTTGACTGTATTGTAATAAGTTGTTTCATTCTTCTTTGCAGAAAGCGTCGAATATAAGACTGAAGATTTAGATAGGTAAGTTTTCTATATGACATTTTTAGTGGAGACTTCCTCGTTGGCCGAGCGATCGCAAGTGCGACTGCCGGGCGAGGGGTCTCGGGTTCGATTCCAGGGTCCGGCAAAGTATACTGGATTTAAAAAAAAATCTCAGTAGTAGCACGGAGCCTGAAATTGTGCCCGGTATATGGCAATAGGCTCACGCCCTATTACATGGGACTCCTAACATAAATAGTGAACTGTTGGTGTTACATTGTACAGTGGCATAGTGCCGTAATGTGCACCTCTGCCTACCCCTTCAGAATAAAAGGCGTGATGTTATGTTATGTTATTTTTGGAGGAGTTTGTGCAAAAAAGTATGAGAGAGTAAAATGTTCGCGCTATAAGAACTAGTGTACTCAAGAAAACCTAATATTTCAATTACAGCGAAAAAGCAGCTCTCCCAGCAGACGCAGTGTACACGCCGCGCGAGGCGGCCCGGCCGGCGATGGTCGGTGGCGTGGGCTCCGTGGCCGGCATCGCGGCGGGCGGCGGCGGGGCGGGCGGCGGGGCGGGC